TCCGGTAATGACGACTATTAAAAAATTTGGATCCGTAGACGGGAGCGTGGCAACCGGCCGGCGGAAATAGAGGGAAGATGCACCTATTATCCTTTTATCGGTCCGAGTCAGGAGGTAATTAAGGATGCACTTATTCCGCCCCTAAGAACGGAAGCCCTTTCCCCTTTCAGAATGTGAGTGCAAACAACAACCGAGACTATATTATCGCCTTTGACTTACCTGCGACGAGGCTGTGACGTATATGCATGCCACGCAAGCCACGATCACGATCGAAATCTTACATTTTCTTACCTTTTTCAAGCCATTAATTTTAAAGATTTTAAGTAACTCATATAACATGTCGCCTAGATGATTTGCAATTCTAATAAACGTTTAAAAAGTCTAGAGATTAATAAGGTAGTTAAAAAAAAACAATTTTTGCCGTTAGTGATCTTTTTATATTTATTATTTGTGTTCCGAGTAATTCTTTTCTTTCGCTTATGTGGAGAAGAATGTGTTTTCGGTTTGCTTCACACCTGTGATTCGATATTGAATTTACATAAAAGAATATCCCGCTTTTCGTAGAAAATAATCTCTTTTATCTTTGAAGGAGTCAGTTTGTGATCTACTGTACACCAGTCGAGCCGGCTGCCGAAGAACGATTCATCGTTTCATTGTTCTTTGGCGATTGTCGGTCTTAAAGACGAGCGGCCGACGCGTCCCGTCCCCGATTTCACATTATGCAAGAAAGTTAGTGCCAGCGCACACGTATGATGTCTCACTTCCTGCCGCGCGAGCAGCTGCCGTGAAATCACGGATCACGGCCGCGGTGTGAAATCGTAGTCCGCTTCGGCCTGCTCTGGTTTCGCGCCGATTTTAGCCCGTTCCTACGACTCGCCCTATGCATTTACTGCATCGCGTTCGCATATTTGGATTTTCACACTGCAGCGCATTAACGAAAATTTTCTTCGTCGAGGAAACGATTAGTCGAGAGATGATACATCTTGCATTCGTCACAGACTGACAGCAAGTAATTAACCTTCGGCTGCGGCGCGCTTCAAATGACAACTGTCCGTTGAACGTATGGGATTATAATCGAAAATTAGTCTCGAAGATGCGTCACCAGAATTACTGCAGTTTACGTGTCCGATGCAAGAGGTTTGCTTGGAAAGAATATTAAGAGATAAAAATGTGATATCTGTAATAAAAAGGCACTTAACATATAATAACAAAAATAATATAATTATTGAGCAAATTTATTGATCATATATTGACTGATTGTGAGAGCATACACGGAAAGAATCTAGTCTAATTTTTATGTATTTTAGTAAAATAATCCTTTTCATGTACATTTACGATTTTCGTAACACGATTATTCCTTCTAGACGTATATTTTCGCTCTTTGCAGCTAAAGGGTTAATAAGTACGCTTCTTTGCCTCTTCCTCCCTGTTATTTTTACATAAACCGCGATAGCACAGAATTTCAAATTGACAGTGAAAGGTGCGATAGGCAGTTATTTCGAAGGCTTCCCTTACCGTTACTATAACGTGCGGCAAATCTTAGCGCTTGCTTATCGTGTCGTACAACACGCTCACATACGCGCGCGTATACACACATCGCGAAACGACCGGACATCAGTTAGTAGGGGCGTCGTATTATCGGACAAGGATCGATGTATCCGCGCCGCGGTATGCAATGCAAGCACTGCGCTCCGCGGCGCATCTGCGCCCGGCCGAAAAGGCAAGCGTGTGCACTCAACCACCGCAGGTTTCGCCCGTAACACCGGGTTAAAAGGAGGGTGCGTATCGGTGAGATAGCGATCGCCGGCGGTAGCCGCGGGACCGACCGGCTGGCCGAGATAAGGATCAGATCAAACGAGGGCAACCCCTTTCGCTCGCGCCCGTCCACCTTCCTGTAGCCACCTTGCGCCGGATTCGATTGGCCTCGTGCGCGCGTGTGCGTGCGTGCGTACGTGCGTGTGTCCCGCGTTTCCTCACGTCTCACCCTTCGATTCGCCTTACGGCACACAAGAATATCACCATCTGTACCTCATTAGCCTAAGCGGTACAAACAGCCTGTGGTCTCTCACCTTCGCACGGCTGCGCTAAGCCGCCCGGGGCGTCTCCGAATCGACTCGAGTCGACTCGCACCCGCCGCCACCCGACCGCCATTATACGGACTATTACGTTGCCTCTGGAGTAGAAAGCCGCCGGGCATCCGGAAGCACGCCGGAGACTTGCGATTTTTGACGTCGCAACCGCGCGTACTGATGAGGAGAAATCTCCCGCCTTCGCGTAGAATGTTATCGGTCTTTCAAACACGAGATTACTTGGGATGAATTCCCAGTAGCCTTGTTATCTCGATGATGGATCGTAGTCAAATAAGTTAATAAACATCGAGGCTTGCACTTTGCGGGTCCTGTGAGGAACGCGAAAGCTAAAGATTAGAAGATTTTGTAGCAAAGCACGCGTATTAAATTTGCAACATTCAATAGCTCACGAGCGACAGGTCTTAGCTAGTTTTAAAACTTGCAGCACGCGAACTATTTGATCAAATAGAATAGAGCCGTAAAGGTATGTGAGTACGCGCTGTATTTCTTTTCTGACATTTCTTCGCACAATTATCAGAATCGAATTTTTCTCACACCGTTACAGTTCCTGACAATTATTCTCTCCCTCGATATTTCTCTCGCCTTTGTTTCACCTAACGACCCGTAAACACGGATTTCATCTGACAGTCGTAACGGAGGTGCGATGAACATCGGAGACGAATAATTTCTAGCGATTATCCTAAAAAAAAAAATGCATGACACGAACAGGTATCTGAGACATGTTTTAGGAATCGGTCTTTTAACGTGGCTGCCGTGCACGGTCGCCACCCACGCCGACACGAATACGGATAGGCACTGGTAATACACCGTGTACAGAGGCACGACAATGGCCGTGTCGCACAATGAGAAGAAGACGAAGGGAAGCAGCGCATTGAAAGGCAAATGAGACCCGGCGAAGCCTCACCGGGGCCAGTGCTCTTCTTCTTCTTCTTCTCCTCCTCGTCCTCCTCCTTCTTTCCCGCTCTCGGTACGTCATCTCTTTTCTATTGCGCACCCACATCCGCTGCTGCCTTTTCAAGTAGCACCCCAAAACACACCTTACGCAAATTAATGTCGCATGTTAACCAGGCCCGCTCAAATGACCGGCACGACGACGGAGCGCCTGAGGACAGTCGGGCTCGTCATCGTCGTCTTTAATAATGATTCATCGCCATACGGCGCGACTAATTGTTTACCGGTCGTTCACAATGCCAGCCAGCCCAACCAACGAACACTTCTGGCGACGTCGATACGCGCCTACCATACATATGCATTTGTGTACCTTTCTTTCGGTCCGGCCGTTTTTCCACCTCTCATTTGTAATTTCGCCCGTTCGACGTCGCGCGCGCCTTCCGTCTTCCCATCGTTCGCTCGCGTTGCGTTATAGCGCTCTAGCCTGGTCTCGAGGCTGGTAGCCGAATATTTCGTTAATTATGGGTCCCTGACTCACGTCCGGCTTATTTGGTTCCGCAATTCTTTATACATAAGTCCATGTAAAGTCTTTTACATTAACTCTTCCTTGGGCCGTTCTTTTGTAATCGTACAATAGTTTGTCGACATTTGGACGTATTCAGGAAAATACAACTTTGTTTATAGATTTATCAAATTTTTATTTTGGTATATAGTAAAAAGTTTTATAGTAAAAAAGATTTATACACGGAGAGAATATTCTTTTAAAATTTACCCTGAAAATCATGTTAATTGTGGGACAATATAGTATTTAGGCAAATTTTACTGTGCACTACAATAAATTTTACTGCGAAATCCTGTAGTGCACAGTAAAATTTGCTTAAATACTATATTGTCCCATAATTAACATGATTTGCAGGGTAAATTAAAAAAAAAATTCTCTCCGTGTAGTAAAAAGAAAATTTTCATCTTGATAATAAAAATGTAATTTTCCCACGCACCTTTACAAATAAAAGTTGCCATCATTTTATTGACGTTTAATGCAAAATATGTTTTAATATAAATGTCGTGTTGCAAGGAATCGTGCCAGATTTCATTTGTCCTTAACATACTTTGTACGCGCAGGTGACTTAAGCATGATACGATCCAAATTAATAATGCAACGATTAATAATTCATCCAACCTAATTTACCTAATAACTACGGTCGACTTGATTATTTACGAGGTGTACGTTAGACCTGAGCACCAGCGTTGCTTTTTGCGTGCGGATTTAGATAGCATCCTCTTATAAACTGTAAATGCAAAGCGTTAATTATTAATGATAATTCGAACCGTGAAACAAACCGTGAATTCGTATCGCTATACATTGTATTTTCGAAATTAACTAGAAACAATCACCATCTCGTGGTGAATGTGAAATTCAACTGCATTACAAGGCACATATATTTTTCGCTAAGAATCTTCACAAATTGAGTTAATACGTTTCTGTCATTAAAGTCATTGAATTGGGAATAACTCAAAGTTTAAATTTTAAATGTGTAAAAGTTACTTAATGTTCTTATAATATTGGAGTAGTACATGTACAGTATATCTACAGTGGATACATGAGTCTGTTAGGAGAACGTCGTTATTGACTGTTGATTCGCATTTTATGTACGAACATAAAATATACTTTAGTTTATGTAAACATAGGAATTGGAATATTTTTTCTTTTTACTTTGTGTATCGTCCATTTAAAAGTTTGCAAATTAAAAAAATGTTTGGAATCTTTTTGTCATTATACAAATTCTACAATAAACGTAATATAATATTTATTTGATGATTAATATTTAGAATTAGATTATATAAGTAACATTGAAATTTATCATAGGACATAGATGGATTTGTGTAAGCAATTTTGTAAGGATAATTTAATTATCCTTGCAAAATGTTTGCTTTTGCAATTTGGATCGAAGGAATGAAGAAACAAGGAAGCTTATTTTGCTAGAATATTTCATCGGGTAGAAATAAAACAGACGTACGTTACGTCTAGATAACTTTTATTAACCAATATAATCGTGTATCGTTACAAATGATGCGGCAACGATGACATACCGATGTAACTCGGATTACAATGAAACTGGTTTTAACGGTATACAATGAAAATAGGAATCGATGAATGAGCGAATTTATGAATTTACAGACGTATTTCGTCGCTACTCGACATTCGAAGAACTGCTTACACCACAACATGTAATTTATACTTTTACTGTATTTTATTTTATTTTATTTCTTTGTGTTCCGCCTGTCATTATCGCCTGCTCCGACGAAACGTTAACTTCTTCCGTTCCTGTGCCTTCCATTGTCCTCGCTTCCTCCTCGATGTGTCTCTGGTAAATCCATGAGTGATGTCACTTGTGCGCACGTGTGTGTATCTGTGTGTGTGTATGTGTATTGTGTGTTGGTATGTGGATTCTGTTGCTTAAAACTGCGTGTATACGTGTACAAATTGTAATTATACTCGAAGACATCGAAAACTCACTACATTATGTTAAATAATAATGCGTCGCGGATTTGCTTCCGGCACGTATGCATATGCAAATTCCTTTTGTCCTTTTTTTCGTCTGTTTCTTACGGATTCGCGACTTGGTAAAGTTATAGAAGTATGTACGAAGTGGCTGCAAACGTACTATCAACTCAATAAATGTGGAACGTAATTAGAATAAAACCGCTATTTAAAAAAATGTGATTGCTTTCACAACGTCGAGGACGTACAATTTAATTGATTTATTAGATCTAGAAGGTCATTAATTACGTGTAAAAAAATACGCGATTTACATGTAAATAAAAACTTATATAATAAATAAAAATACGCTTGCGCGACAAATTTGCATGAATAATTCTGTGATTGCGAATAAACAAAGAAAAGAAGTAAATTAACACAATCGCATAATTTGCAATTAAATCGGGCGAATCTCAGTTGTGTTCATTTCGTTGGCCCTATCGCAAATCCGCGACTCACTAGTTAGGCTTACGGCTACTATCGAGATATTGATGTACATATACAAGAGAGTGGTTTTTTTTCTCCTTACAACACGGGTTAGAGTATACAAAGACGTTGTTTGCCGAAGAAAAACGTTTCACGTATTCTTCCGTTCGTCTTCCTTCTGCCTATCTTTCGCTCGCTCGCTCTCTCTCTCTCTCTCTCTCTTTCTCTCTTCTCTCACTCTCCAATCACGCATACGTATATCGGAACTACGCATTCGTTCACATTCGTTAAACGTGGAAGGGTCTCAGTTTCATATATATCCTTTTTATAGCTTTTCTCTTTTCGGGAAATCAATTAAGGATTATTGGTTCTCTTTCTGCATTTGCGCGTATCTTTCCTCTGTTTCCTTTCAGAATCTCTTCTGTCATTCGTTTCGGCTTTGTTGGTCCGGTGTGGCAGTGCCTTGTTATTCTTGTTAATTAATTTAACGCTGTGGTGATTTTTCGCTGTGCTATCGCACGTGGATTTTTTGTCCCTTCTGTGACGTGATCACGCAGAGTGTCGATGAAACAAAAAAGATTTTCACAGATTTTTGCAAATAAAACTTGTCTCAAAACACGTCGTTAAACTCTGTGAGAGAGACAAGTTTCACGTGCAAAAATAACAATAATTAATAACATTAATTGCATTAATTAACGTAACAGATTATCGCGCATACAAGCTGATTCACCTATACTTTTTTCTAATTAAATCTATAATGACTAAAGTATGGGACATGCATGAGTGTTGTTTTGATTTATAGAAGTTTATACGCATTATAATCTTTGTACTGATATACCTATAATATATTTTTTCTAAGTTAAAATGCACACATTATGTACTTTTTGCCACATGTATAATTCTGCGAAATTCAGCTTATATACCTTCAGCAAAATTTTTTAAATTAGAATAACAGTTTGAAAAAGATTAAAAAATTGTCCGTGCACAATTCTGAACTTATGCACTCTCTGTTGGCAATGTAATGATGTTTTCATTTCATAGACACTCTGCTGCATAATAATTCGCTGACGAAGAGTGGCTATTATTATTTACATATCGCACGCAACACTCCAACTACAGCTGCGCACATCAAAATTAGTACAAGTCTTCATAATGTATATATATATTCATATTTATATCTATATATATTTATATTGTGTTTACTTTTTAATAATATCGTCCTTGGATTATAATTGTTTAATCGACTTAACGGCTGTTTTAGTAAGCTTGTGGTGCAACAACATTTCTCTCATTTCGCGCACGCGAGCGCGTTACTTATTATTTATATTATTTCTAATAATTAAAATTTGCAAGCTAAAGACGTTGACTGGTGTATAATTATGATTTCCGTTAGGAGACTTCGAGCGGGCCGTGTATATTATTGTTTTCTCATCGCGCGGGAAAGTTTTATTTAATAAAATTTACGTGTAGTTAGTATAAATTTTATTAAATAAAATTCAACGTGTGCTTCATTCTCAGGAGAAGGGAGTATTTTCACAAGGATTTGTGGAGGAATTCACAAAGTATAATTTCTCTATACGATGAACGTTATCTTTTCTCAACGATCTACATACGATATCAATAGCGAAGTAAATGCGAAAGATCGATATCTCTTTGAGATAGGCTTAAACACTAATCAATAATGATGAGAATAATTACCTCTTATATTTCGTGAGTGGTGTGCGAGCTCCTCTATTCGCGTGTACCGATTATTAGTCTTCGTTTTCTTTTTTTTCTCTACCCCCGAGTAGTTCTCTCCTCCCTTCTTAACTCTTTCAGGGGCCGCGAAAAAGTCAGCGTATTTTGTGCAGAGTCTCTCCGAAAGAGAGTAGCAGTACTAGAGTGAAACTTAGGCACTGTAGTTCACAAATTAAACCACATCGCACCAACATAGAAACGCACAAATGTCGTGGCACCTAATACATTTATACTGTGACTTATACGTGAGAAGTACACAAGCTGCACCGTCGCCCCTCAAAGAATTAAGCCATTCACAATGGAAATCTCTTTGACGTTCAAACATCGTACCATCTGCCAGAATAATTAGTTGAAACGACAAACACGTACGAATCGCTTTTCACCCAAAAATAAGCCTTTTTGACGCAGGTCATCATCGACTTCCTTCGCGCTGCTCTTAACGTACGTTTTAGTCACACAATCTGCATCGTCGAGCGTAACTTCCGCTTACGTTCGCGAAAACTCTTTGAGAATATGCCATTCAGAGTACCTCGGCGAGTCTGAAATAAAATACTCTCTATACACAATCGCTCGTGTTGGCTTCGAAAACGGGTCTCCTTCCTTCATTGACTCCTCGTTCAACGTTGTTCTTTAAATGTGCGCGTGAGCCAACTGCTCGCGATGAAGATACGACGAAGGTACACACGATGTCGTCGGCGTGTTCATTTTCGAAGTACGCGACTGTTTGAAAAGTGTCGATAAAGGGATTCGAAAAATTTCAAAAACAATTTTGTACTCTGCCCGGCACGCAACGGGGGGAAACAATGATTGAGATCTCGCGGGTGCAAATGTCCCTTTTGAAGGGACGGATCTCTCGCTAATTACGCGCTCTTGAATGCGAGGAAGCACTCGCGTTTTTTTGAATAAAGAAGCGTTTCGAGAACGAGAGGATCTTTCGCGAGACCGAGACGCGTCGCTCGATTTGCTCTCGTTAAGCGAACAACGCCACGAAATTATCTTGTTCCTCGTCGAGCCTCTCTTGAGATTTCCGCAGTTAGACTTTGATCGCGCGAAGAATACAACCACGACCAGTTTCGTTCGTTTTTCAGTCGCGATGACTATGTCACGCGTCATAGTGTGCATCGATGAAGTAATGTAAGAGCTCCCCTCACACTATCTTTTACGACCGTGAAATTATTTCGATAAAATGCGGAAACGAAGCCGTTCGCCTTCGACGGTCAGCTAATTGATATTTACGACGATTTCTGATATAATTCGAATAATCCGAATTAATTAACGTCTCGTAAAATGTACGTATATTGGAGAGCGTAAACCAAACACGATAAACTTAGAGGCTAATCTCGTCCGCTAAATATCGATGACTTATAAAAATATCAAGTATTTAGTTAAAGATTATACGTTAACGTACGAATAGAAGGAGATTCGCCGCCAACGCCGACTCAAGTTTTTCACAAAAGTATATCACAGCGATCCGACAATATCCGTAATGAATGAAATAAGAAAAAATTCCGGGAAATATATCGAACAATCTAAATTCCCGCGAGTCGAACCGAATTTGTCTACAATGCTCTTGATAATGCACAATGGGGCGAGGGTACATATACGATACATATAAAAGTAGAAAATTTGGTGGCAGTATATAGAGATCGTGTACGGTGGAGAAACGCGGTGAAGGGAAATGCGTATGCGCTAACATTTTTGTTGTTGTTGTTGCTGTTGTTGTTTTGTGCTTCGTTTATGCCGAAATTGCGGCAAAAGCCTGTCTGATTGACAAAGATTTGTCAAGATCGTCTAGGTTGTCATTGATCCGTCCTTCTCCTTGTTGTCTCTACTGACCAATGCTAAGAACAACGTAAATAAAGAAGAGAAAAAAATACAACATATATATAAAACAGGAGACAAAGAAACAGTTTGCGATTCGGCACGAGCATTATCTGGCTCCACTTTACGCGAGAGCTCCTCTTCGAGGATGTCAGATCGACCTTGATTGTATTCACTGAAGTGTGCCTCTTCAGATGTCGATAAAAGGGTTTCTCAACGAGATATATCTTCAACTTCCAACTTGAATTCTTGGAACTGTTAACAATTATCAACGACTTGGATATCATCCGAAGATTTCTTCGTGCAACGAGCGTGTCAGACACGCTGTATATGTTCGACTATTCCGGCTGATCCGTCATTTTTTTGCAATTTTTCCGTCCGTCGATCTTTCCAATCGATTTTCTATTCTCTCTTTCTCTCTCTCTCTCTCTCTCTCTCTCCCTCTCTCTCTCTTTCTCTCTCTTCCTTCTCAATCTTCAGCTTTTTTTCGAGACCCGAAATCGATGTACGAAATCGAAGTCGTCGAGCATCCTGACCTGCTTGTGCTCGCTCTTTCGTTCCAACCGACGATCATTCCGGACGATTGACTATGACGGGACTCCCCGCTCGTCTACTCCAGACGCGCCTTGTAGCTAGTCTTCCAGATCTCGGCCAGCGTCACGGCGCTGTGGAACCTGTGGAAGATGCACAGCGGCAGGGTGACCCTCTGCACAATGGCCCAAGCGAGGTACCCGTAGAAATCAAGCTGCACCGGATTAGCAAAGACCTTCTGGGTCTCGAAAGTGTAGATCACCCACATGGTCACGTTGCAGATCAACAGGAAAGTGACCACCTGTCTACCGGGCTTGCTGCGATCGTGCTCCGGCAAATGGACTCGCCTGCGCGATACGTCAGCGATGAAGAGCATCTGAAGGACCACCTGGGCGACCGAAAGCAATCCCGTTACCATCACCAGTAGATTCGGTTCGTGCGTGAAGGCCGCCAGGGAGCCGGCGATCACGCTGAAGACGGCGTAGATGAAGAGACCGAAAGCGGAGACGCGCAGGAGGATGTCATTGAGATCGCTCTGCTCCTCGGCCTTGAACTTGAGACTTTGCACGCGGATGAAGCCGATGATTATGGCGATGATAGATAATGCCATTAGGACGCAGTGGGACACATCGGCGAGATAAATCGCGAGTAATCCGAAGTCTGGATGATGAATCAGCACGAAGAACAGTATCAGGCATATAAGGGAAGCAACCAGAAGAAGCAGACCGAAGAAGAGACCTTTGCTCGCCCCAACGCAGTCGACTCTGGTGTGACCTGATAATATCTTTTATGATAACTCGATTCTCGAGCAAATAAAGGATTATGCACATTTCTAACAATCTATAAAAAAAAAGTTGATCTGATATGCTCGCAATAAAAAACGATATCAAAAAGTAAAAATTACCTGCATGAGCAAGAGCGACGGCTCTTCGAGATAGCATAGCCTCAAGACGACGTTCAAGGTCAGCCTCTGCCAGATGAGGCCAGCGCGGATGTCGGCCGATATGCTTCCACATGACATAAATCACCGCTGCTCCAACCAGGCTGTACTCGATTATGAACGGAAATAGATATGGCGCTGCATCTTGGACGATCGTTCCCATGATATTGACGCGTCCGCATGAATTGGATACCGTGCCATCCTCTCCTGTTAGAGCTTCCGCGTAGATACCTAAATTCGAGCTCCAGTACTCGCTGCTATTCGTCAAATTGCTCACGTCAAAGATTTGCGGTACCTAAAAGAGAGAGAGAAAGAAGGTCTTTAATCTCAGCGCTCACCGCCTCAATGATATTTATTCACAGTAACGTAATAGATCATAATTCGTACTTGATTATCTATTTCACTCTGCGGCGAGTTCATCAGCTCTACCATCTGCGACCAGAACGTGGTAGTGGACGGCGTGGTAGTCGAGGTGGTGCTGGTACTCGTTGTAGTCGGGATAGTGGTGATTCTCTCGGTGGTGGTGGTAGTGGTGGTGGTGCTGGTCGTCGACGGTGTAAACGTGGTCAAGAGAGTGGACAAGGTTGTCGCCGTGGTGGTCGTCAGATTAGGCAATGCGAAGGTGGTGGTCGACGGCGTGGTTGTCGACGGGGTCGTCCAGGTAGTCGAGGTGGACGTCGTAGATGGCGAGGTAAACGCGTCCGCGATCGATCTGGCCGTTGTTGTCATCACGCGACCCAGGGCAGTGCCGACTGTTACGAGCGTGCTGGTGACGGTCGGCGCGGCGGTCGACCTTATAAGAGGGGCCTCTCGTAATTGTGCCATGTCGGTGTGCCGCGGCTCGGTACCCAATATGGCCCCTGCGTTTCGCATCGAGTGCTGCTTGATGCTCTCTGTAAATGTCGGCACATCAATATACATACATACATACATATATATATCGGCGCTTAATTGCCAGAGCACTTGAACTTGGCCCATGTACTTCGGAGATGGTTCAAACGATTAACTCTGTAAATATAGATCGCTTACCGAGAATCCCTGCTTGAACTTGGCCTATTCTTTTATGATACTGAGTGATCTCCTTGAGACTCTCCAGAACCAGTGTGCGTATCCACACGCAGATATTCGTCGCGACCACGTGCATCAGACCAAAGCGAGCGATGACTTTGAAGCGATGGATGTTCAACTGCGAAAAAAATATCGTAATTTGTATTTTTCTAATTTCTCCGTTTGAAATTAATTATACGTTTCATAATTTCAAATACATACTCGAGAGTTCATGAAGATAAAGTACATCTGCATAAAAGTGAAGATCATTTGCAACACCGGATTGACGCCTTGTAGTATTTGATAGCAGGGTGATGTGGGTGGCACCTCGAAGAATGTACCGAATTCCAAACCGTTGTGTACCATTGTACCCAGTCCAAATGCTAACAAATTATATTTAATCGATTTAAAGATATTATATGCATCAATTAAAAAAAAAACAATTTTTCAACGTTATTGAAAATTATAGACTTACCTATTGCACCAATTCTAAGGAAGAAGCTTCCATGACTATGATCATTTTGTGAAGTTTTTCGTTTCCGCAAGACTCGCGTAGCTACGCCAGCTTCAACATCGGTCGCATCCTGAAAAATTCATGCCTTTCACAATAATGTAATTAAAATATACTAGGTCATAAAATATATTACTTTAAAAATTCGGAGTTTAATTTTACATTAGGAAATTTAAAAAGGATTATAGAAATATAGCGTTTCGTAAAAAAGCAATTAAGTATAAATTTTCGTTAAAAAAATTAATTGTGATAATAAAACTAGATTGCACATTTTTGTTAGATTTGAAGAAATTTAGATGAAAACGTTTGAAATAAAAAGTAACGATTAACTTGACACACGCGTCGAGAGTATCTATGTAACTTATTGTTAGATACCACGCGCTAACTAAAATACATTTCACAGGTAACGTGCTATTGTCGTAGCCATGAAACGTGTTTAAAATTAGTAACCTATTGTAACGAATCACTTTGAACTCTTCACATTACATAGGTCTCTATAAATAATTTTACTGCTTCTTTTTGGTAAATACGATTATATCACGACATGGCGATTAGTACGAAATTAAAAAAAAACTTTAAAAAGTTTTAAAATATAAATATTATTAAAAATAAAAAGAAAAATGAATTAAGTATTTCGAATAAATTTAATGAAACATAAAATATCGACAATTTGAAATTGTTAATTGGCTATGTTTATGTTAGATTAAAGATTCGTGAAAGATTCGTGAAAGATTAGAAATTCCTTGTGAAAAATTAATATTTTTAAAGAACCTGAGGTTGAGGTTCCTTTTTGGTCTTTGGCTGCTTCTGATCCTTTTCCTTCTTATCCTTCTTATCCTTCTTCTTGTCCTTAGATTCCTTAGATTCTTTGGAGGTCCAACCAGATTTGGGCGGTCTTGGTGGTGGTGGTGGCGTATCGCTTCCCCTGGCACAGCAAGCACTCTCTTGAAGGAGGAAGCAGAAGACGTACAGCAGGAATAGGATACTCATGCCATAAAGATACGTGAAGAATCCCTCGTAATAGTACAACGGCAGTTTGTGCGTCACCACTTCGCTTAACACGTAAGCGATGCACACGACTACGAGCAGCTTCGAGTAGATGAAGCTCATGATGATGAAGAGCGACGTTCTGAAATAAGAAGCGATATGAGCTGCCGTTTATCACATCGTAATAATACGAAATATGACACCTGACAGATATAGTCAATCTATCACAATAGGAATTATATTACACCACAGACAGAAGTTTCATCGGATTATTTCGTTATATCGAAAGTGTCACGTCCGAATAATGGTCTCACCCTTTTTTCTGGACAATTTGCACTCTGCTACCCCGTCGTGGTAGCATGTCCTTTCTGCCGTTATTATCGACGAAGGGTACAACTTCGACTTCCATGATGATTTTTTTGTTAAAAATTCTACACTTTGAGATAATTTAAAAGATTTAAATTGTTATATTTTCTTTTAAATGAACGCTTATATGGTTCCTCGCACAGAATCTTTTAGTATGGTCACTGTTCAACGTAAATATTGTTTTTCATTATTAATTGATATTAATTTAATAGTTATTAGCTACTTATTATTTTACTAGCTCTTTTATATGTCACTTGCATCGTGTCCTACTTCGATTAATAAACGCACGCCGACTGTTGCGCTCGTTGTGATCGTGCAAGTCGATTCGCACGAACGCGTGCTATTTCTGTTTTCGCCTTTCAACCATAATGGTATTCGGGTTCATCGAATTTTCATTGTTTTCACCAAATATAACTACCGTGTCCTCGATATTCTATTTAGCCTGTACAACACGCGTATTATAAGCTCATTTTTTATTGATAATCAAATGTGAATAACAACAGAACTATCAATCAAGCAATCGAACAGCCGAGCAATCGAATATATATACAATATCATATTATTATATTTATTTCATCTGTTGTCAATCAAAATTTCTAAAATTACGCATCGCGCAATCTGTACTTGATAAAAAAAAATGCACTAACACACAAGCCCACTTGGCATTACACCGTTCACCGTTATTAATTAACCGGAAGTAATATAATTAAATTGACATTTGTGTGTGATCACAGGCTCTCTGAACACTCTCGATGGTATTTAAAAAATTAGTACAACAGCTTCGTTAATTTTCGGTCGAGCACTATGCTTGATCTTGATACGAGTGGCACGATTACTCGAAACGCGACGAAGCGGTCGATCTTCAATAACAGTTGACCTGGTGCATTCGCTTTTAATCGACGAGCATAACTACCGCTCGAACATCTCGGACGTACTTATCCGCGTCTCATCCTCGTTACGCTCTTTTTCTCACTCAAAGGTTAGGCGGCGCAATCGATAGTCTATATATAATGCCGGTCGCAAACTCGACGCGATCTCACCGGGAATCAATCGCGCGGGAAATGAGGCTTTTCCACGGGAAAACGGGGCCGCGCAGCGCGCACGCAGGAGGGGCCGCGCCGCGCTGCGCCGCACTGCTCCGCTTTGCCTCTCGCTCCACTCCGCGCGATGCAACGACGCCCGCGCGCCGCGCGCGACACGTATGTATATGCGATGCGTCTACGTTGAGAAGGGCTTAACCGCCCTTTGTCACCGTGGCATTTCAATGGGTTGGGGTGCAGACTTTATTGTGTCCCACACGAGCCTCGTACACTCGCGTCAGGGATTTTTTTTCTCCCCGGATGCGCGTTAGAGTAGAGGCGGTGATATTTTCCGTCTTACGACAGGCGTGAATCGCAGTTTTTATTTAAAGCTCCTTCCTGTCATAATTTATTACATAAAGGGTAACACGGAGTACACGGAGGGGAGGACATTCATCTGACTATTAGTATCCAGCGACTAATTGTAAATTAGAGATGAATTTATCCAGAAAATATAGTTTATAAACTTTTTTAACATCGTGTATTTTTATAATTAAATTCTAAATCAGTTAAATTCTACTAAAGAAAAATCAGTTGAAATCAGTTTGATCGAAACATCTATAGAAAAGCGATTGTCCGACGATTTTGATGTGTCTTGTCTAATGTCATTTGTTATATCGGCGATTTAGATGTATTAATTACAGTGCGCTTTAGTTCCTCGATATTAATTAACTGAGGAATCGTGTAACTAACCCGCTTCTAATTGGATTGATTAGGCTGACTTCGCGGCTATTGTTCGCCACAATTAGGCTGGTAGGCAGAACGCAGTGACAATGGATGAGTTTCTCGCCTTGGATACCGCTCAATATCTAGGTCTATTCGCTTCATTACGTGAACGTCTCGATAATGAATCACCGGAATCATAAAATCAAATGCGATCTTTATGAGTTCGAAAAAATTACTTTGAGATAGTCGTATCTTTTTAATTTTGTAAACAATACGAGAAAGGTTATTTCGATTCTTTGAATCTTGCATTTCTTGGGTTGCGTGACGACAGATTTTGTACAGATCGGGAACAAGTTAGCTAACTAACACCGCTCTCTCTAAATCTAAGAATGGCATCGGAGAAAAGTATCTCGTAATCTTTTTTGCTGTACGAGAAAGAGGCGGGCATTGCAGTCAGCCGTTTTCCAGTTGCGAACAAGGAGCGAACGAGAAAATGGAAACAGCGCGCGGACGTGGAACGGTCCAGACTGGCTGGTCGATATCTCGAAGTACCTACTTTCGGCGCGGCGGTGCTCCTCCCTGTTTCCTCGCCCTCTTATGGGCTTAACCTCGCCTCAATCCCTTTCAAGGCTCTATCCTTTCTCAAATCTTTTCAAGCGTTTGGCGGCACTCCGAGAATCACACCATATGTTCCAATTGAGTATTATATATATTAGAAATCGAGAAATCTCGTTTAAATCAAGGCGATTATTATATTTATGGTATCGTATATTGTATGTAATATTATAAAATCACGAGAATTACATAAGCGCTAGAGAAGTTGTATAGGGAACCGATATTTACATCTCGACAGAATCGATAAATTCTTATCTCTGTCCCACAAAAGGCCGCGTCTCTTCGAACATCTATTTCCGGCCTATTTACTTTGCCTGTCAACGAGAGAAGCCGTCTGTAGTAATTTTATGATTGGCGATAATCGAGTTTGCATCAATTCTCTTTGATTACTAGGGGTCGTTTGACCGATTGATTTCTTTTCGCACCAGAGAGATTAGCAAAACTTTTAACAGTAATTATGACGATTATAATATATTTTTTTACGGTTTTTAATCATCAAATGAATTTCTTGGCTTTCGCGAATCAATCATGTTTTAAATTCTGTATTCTATTAACAAACGCACACATACAATCCGTTCAACACTTTCACATTACCGCGAAATTTCGTAAAATCACTACTGTGGCACGACACAATTTTGCAAAACCATTACAGATCACTGCATCTCGATATAAGTTGCGCGGCCGTATTTCACAACACGAATGGAAATTTCAATTTCCGTGTTAATTAAATTTAGGACGAATTGCGCTCGCGCGAGAGATTTGTGGCGGCACTGTTTTGTGGCGGGAGCGACGCGTAGGACTGCCGGTGGCACATCGGCTTGAGAGACCGTGTTAATGCAATTGCGACTGCGGCTGTGTAATCCGAGATCCACCTATTGCTCCGTCGCGAAATGCATATGGCTACACTTGTCGTCAAATCAATATTAGTCAATTGAAAAGTAGCGCGCAAACTGTCCGATTTATCCGCAGCTCTATATAGTTTTTGTGTCAACATGCCTTTGAAACCTTTTACACCACTCATACATGTGCACGTATATGTACATATATACACACACACATACATACATACAGGCACAGAAATAGAGATACATATTTTCCTAGTTAATAGCCTTTATAGGAATTTAATACTGGAAGTAATTAATTACTTATTTTAAATATTAAAAGCACTGAACAACAGTGCTTTTTATATTCAAAACAAGTAATTTTCTGCAAATTTGATTTTTATAAGGGAGATATTTGTATAGAAGTACAAAATTGTACATGAAAAAAATGCAGTGCAAGGAAATATAAAAACACAATGCTGTTTATATAAAACGCAATTTAGTAATTGCAATTATGAAATTAATTTGTAAAAATAGAAATTAGATTTTTTTCCTGTTTTTTTCACAATCAGATGTACATTTTAATCAATACCCTTCGGAGGAATGATTAATTGTCATTTATTGCGTATTATGCACGCCGTACGTAGATGTACGACGCATATCCAGCTGCAGACGGGTTAATGAACTACGTCGTAAATAGAAATGTAAACCAAACTAGACTATCTCTCGTTTCCATTTCGGGCCCTCTGTTACTATTTTCTCGCAGCCCGGATGTTCTTTACGAGTAGTACGGAGGTAACGTGACCAACGCTTTCTATCCTTCTGTGACTAATAAAACGATTGCTCCGAGCAAATTTAATACAAATTGCCTGAATATCCGAAAACTAGAAATAATGGAAATTTGTTTATTATGCAATTGCGTCTCGAAAGACTTTTACGAGTATTAATCCAAATATGTAAAATAGCTGCATATATTTTATTTAATATTATTAGATGATCAATTATGGCATATTTTCTCTTTAGTATGAGAACTATTTTTATGGTTGGTATCAAAATATTTTTTATTTCACTATTTTTATTTCATTCGCGAAACATCGCGTTTGTTTCGTGATTGACAGCCCGCTGTCTTTCACGCTTCGGAGACCGATGTTTTCGTGCAAATGGATATATCGATACTTCTTCATTCGTGAAGTTACGAAGCATTTGCGCTTTCATACGTGACACGAGTAGCCGGAAATTAATATTGCGCATCACGAAATAGCTTATTCTCGAGAATTGTAGACATCATGTTTCAACGTCTATTAGAACAATAGGAAATATTAGTTTCTTCGTAAACACGAAGAAACTATCATCGTCAATTGCAATATCACTTATGCAACGATAAAAAAAAATCATGTTTATGATTCAGTAATTATGTAGTTCTATGCTACAAGCTTTGACGTAAGTTTGTAAGGCGCGAAACAAAATTCGAGTTTACGTTAGTTTTGAATAAATTAACTTTTATTACGCTTTGGTTGAGATTAGAATCAGTGTTGCGCGTACCATAAGTTACGCCGGACCGTAAGCTTATAAATTTACAAGCACATAATTAACAT